GTGATTGCAGGAACAGACCCCTGCGAGATAGTCTGTTGTACGGATCTGGCTCTTCCAGGAACTGTTCTTAAATACCGTTAACAAGTCAGCCATGGAATGGTTGGATGTGCGATTATCTGACAGCGGGATTTTGTTCTCTAAATTACCTTCCAGTCTTTATTACGATGTAGCATTTTCCACATGGAGAAAGCTAAGAACCCAACAACCCTAATTCCACGGTCTTTTAAATGCCTGAACAGCACCTAGCAGGAAGACTAGGCGGGTTGATAGCAAGCTTGTTGTCCTCCCAGAAACATAGATAAGGGAAAGGAAACCCAAAACTGTGTAATCAAGAGTTATGTTTGCTTGGGCGTACCTGATCCTAAGTTACAGTGAATGCACATACAATCCATTACAGTGCACGCTTGATTTTTATTTGTGTGTGTGTTGAGTACGTAACTATCATGGTTAATTAAATGCTTGTACAGCTGAACGAGTGATTGAAACCGCAGACACATCCAGGTACTGGTCCTCAGTTTAATTTGCAAAGTGAACTCATATCGGCCCCTTGCTTACAAAGAGACATGCTGGATGTGTGTGCATTCACGGTAACATGGGGTTGCCAACTCTGTGTTGGGCAATTCCTGGAGAAATGAGGGGGCAGAGCCTGGGGAGGGGAGGAATTAGGGGAGAGGAGGGAGCTCAGCAGCATTGGGATGACATATAGAGTCTGCTTTCCAAGTCTGCCATTTTCTCCGGAGGAGGTGATCTCTGTCGTCTGGAGGTCAGTTGTAATTCTGGGAGATCCCCAGGCCCTATGTGAACAGGGCTAAAGAAATGATGAGACTCATGCTCTCCTCATACTATTATTTGTTTGTTTGTTTTATTCAATTTCTAGCCTGCTCTCCCTGCACAGCAGGCGCAGAGTGGGGTACAAGAAGTATAAACCATCAATTAACATAAATAAAGCATAGAAACATAGAAAATTGTTAAAACCTATGGCATCAAATACTTAATTAACTAACAATAGATGGTGATCTGTGACACAAAGAATGGAGCCCAACCCAATCCACGTGCGCCCTGGATGGAATAACACATGGAAGGGAGTTGACCACAGTAGATGGAACGGGGCAGGGGGAGGCCAGTGTAGATGGTTTACTGCTGCCTCAGCCATAGGCCTGGTGGAACATCTTTGTTTTACAGGCTCTGTGGAATTTCAATAAATTCCGTAGCGCCCAGATCTCACTTGGGAGAGTGTTCCACCAGGCCGGCGCCAGAGCTGAGAAATCTCTGGCTCTGGTTGAGGTCAGGTGGACTTCTTTTTTTGGCTGGGGATCACCAGCAGATATGAGTCTGAAGAGCAATGTTCCCTCTAAGCTGTGGAATCTTGTGAGCAAAAATTCTACTCTGTGAGCTACTGGCATGAAATTTGTGAGCGAGAGATTTGGCTACTGCATAAATTAGTTGGCTCTGGAGCCATCCTTCCTGAGCGAAGGCAAAAATCTGTGACATGGAGGCTGAAAAACAGTGAGCTACCTCACACTAACGCAGCTTCGAGGGAACACTGCTGAAGAGTGTAGTGCCCTTCGAGGGACATATTGGGAGAGACTCCTGCAGACTACAGCTATCATCAAGAATAGAACAGTCACATAGGCCATGCCAGAACCCATCTTAGGCAATGCTGCAGCTTATTAGTAAATAAAGTTTACTGGGGAGCTGGAGATCTATCTTTGCATAAGGGTTGAGTCTGGAAACCATGTAGGGTTGCCAGCTTCCCACTGGGGGAGGGAAATCTGTCACCCCAAGGTCTCACTGGGGGGAATGAAATGCCCCAGGCAAAATGAAAAGGTATGACTGGCATCCCTAGTGCGATGAAGTGATGGACCCAGAAGTGACTAGATTTAGTATTTGCCTCAAACTCAATGGTTAAACCATAGGGTTTGGGGCAAATCCTAGAGTGTCACCCAGCAGTGGCATCATTGCACCAGGGATACTGTTCCCCATCACACACATCCTCACCTCCATGTCCTGCTCAAAATCATGTGATCATGACACAGTGGAAAAATCTATCAACTCTCACTTTACTTTTGCAACATGTTTCTTCTGATTTATTGGTTTCTAAAGCTTGACTTGGGCCTATCCAGCTGCCCCAGAGATATGAAGAAACAAACAGCACAGCCCCCATAAAAATCCAGTAGTTTGTTTACAACAGTTGCAGTACAGCTTTGCAAGTAGTCATGTAATAGTCATGCTTTGGATTAGGCAGCTGGGGTATTAGGCAAACGTCCTACAGTTATTGCAGATCACCTGCTTGGGATTTGGCGTATAAGGAAGAGCAAGATTTGACTCCAGTAGCATCCTAGAGATCAACAAGATTTCCGTGGTGTGAGCTTCTGAGAGTCAAAGTTCCTTTCGTCAGATACGGAGCGCTGACTCTAGAAAGCTTGTACCCCAAAAAACTTGCCGTTCTCTAAGAGGATGCTGAAGTACAACACAACACAGGATGCTGAAGTACAACACAAACTGCTATCAGCTTGATTAGAGCAGGAAGGAAATGCTGGGACAGAAAATTAGCATCTGTAGTGAGGCAAGAATCCTATGTCCCTCTTCAGACCAGGGTGGGTGGCCCATTGTTATGAATTTGTGAATGAACTCAAGTGCAGCAATCTCACATTGCAATCTCTCCTTGAAGATTGTCTGTTTTAGAACTGTCACTCGAACTTCAATGGAATGTCTCGAGAGATTACAATGTCCTCCCACAGGTTTTTGAGTGCCCATTTCTTCTTTTGCATAGGGACTGATCGGTTTGTCTGATGTAGGGAATGGAAGGGCATTACTGACACTTGATGGCATACATAACAGTGGAAGATGAACAAGGGAATGAACCTGAGATGGTATGGCTAGTGTTGTTAGGTCTGGTGATAGTGTTGTCAGAGGGACAGAGTTGGCATCTTGGTGTATTGCAGGCCCTGGTCCCACAGTCCGTGTTCAGAAGTGCATTATTGTGGATAAGAATTTGTGTAAGGTTAGGAGGCTTTCTGTGGGCAAGAAAAGGTTGCCTCCCAATGGAGGGTTGCCTTTCCCTGAGGAATGACTTGTTGAAGTAATAAATGCTGTCTTTGGGGCCCTGAAGAACATGGGATAAATAGTAGTTCCACTTCCGAATACAGAATGGTAGATCTGAGGACTTCGACAATCATCACTGTTGCAGAAAAAATACTATAGTCTCCACTGTAGGTTGTGAAACATGATTTGCAAAGCAGTGACCTCTAGTGGAATCAAGACACAAAATACTGCTAGCTTTTATATTTGAAAAGGGAGAGTTGCACTGTGCCTTTGTTTCAGTATTTGATGAAAGCCAGAGACTTTATTGATTTATTTACTTCATTCCTACTCCGGTTTTAGAGATCTTTCTAAAACCTAGTATAACCTAACCAAGTCCAGAACACCACCTCTGTAAGAAACTTGGGCTTTCCATCTTCCCCAGCTACATATTCCCCCCCTTACATTTTACTTAATATACGGTATTGCTCTGTTATTGCTAAATGGATACTGTATTTCTGTAACAAGACGGGGAAGAGTTATAGTGAGCCAACAGGGAATTTCTAGCCATATATGCTGAACTCCAGGAAGATTAGATTAGGCGAACCTAAACAGCATGATAAAAAGTAGAGACATCACCCTGCCAACAAAAGTCCACATGGTCAAAGCAATGGTATTCCCAGTAGTCATGTATGGCTGCGAGAGTTGGATTATAAGGAAGGCCGAGCGCCGAAGAATAGATTCTTTTGAACTATGGTGCTGGAGAAGACTCTTGAGAGTCCCTTGGACTGCAAGAAGATCAAATCAGTCAATCCTAAAAGAAATCAACCCTGACTGTTCCCTGGAAGGCCAGATAATGAAACTGAAGCTCAAATACTTTGGCCACCAAATGAGAAGGGAGCACTCACTGGAGAAGACCCTGATGCTGGGAAAGATTGAAGGTCAAAGAAGACGGGGACGACAAAGGATGAGATGGTTAGACAGTGTCATAGATGCAATGAACATGAAATTGAGCAAACTTCAAAGGACGGCGGAGGACAGGAGGGCCTGGCGTGATTTGGTCCATGGGGTTGCGAAGAGTCGCACTCAACTGTGCGACTGAACAACAACAACAAGGAAGATTAATGAATAGCTTGGAACCTCAGGTGTCAAAGGAAAGCTCTAAATGTTCTGTTTCGGTTCACTACCCTGACTTGCCAGTTAGATACCAGTGTGGATGTTCTAATGCAAGCATGGAGCTGTTTAACCAATAAGGACCGACTCACTGAGAAATTAATGTGGCACCCATTTTCTGAACTGATTCATAGAAAATGGAAATATATATCTCATAAAACTGTATATGAACCTTAAGGAACCCAAGGAATTAGGCACAACCTTTGTACCCAGAGTGCTCCCTTAATTTGTCACAATTATACAATAAAATCCTTTACAAATTTGTTTGCAACTTTTCAAGATATCTACATTCTGGTGGTTTGAACATAGTGGATTGAATCCAAATATTGTTTTCTGCCAGTGGTGTGTGGTGGTAGGGGGTAGTTTCTGAGTTTCCCTTCCCACTGCATGCCCCCTACTTCACCCCATGGGCTGAATTAGCAGAGGGGAGGCAGGAAAGTTCCTTTTGGTTGGCAGAAGTGCCTTCTGTGGGCAGAACATGAATTTTAGGATCCAACCCCTAAGAGTTTACTTAGCCAATTAGTTTTCTTCTTGAAACAAAGAAAACCCTCCCATACCATGTCCCTTGACTATTTTTGGTCAGTTAGAAGTATATTTTGATACATTTTGTAGGAGGCACAATATCCCCAGTTGTGTCATTCCAACGAAGAAGTGCTAAGAGGAGAAAACGAACCGTCTTCAACCTTTTGTTCTCAGAAAATATCATAGAAAGCAGCCAATGAAAAGTGTAGTTTTCCCTGTAGGACTATTTCAGCGGAGTAGTAAGATACAATTATCTCCAGGGACAGACACAGGATAATCACGGAATCTTAGCTTTTATTGAAAAAATAAAATGAGCAGAGTCTGATGAAATATACCATTAAATCTGACATCAGATTTCATAGCCGAATGGATTTACAGGAGAAAAAACACAAACAAGTCTTCATTTCATTAAGTGGAGTAAGTAATTCAACAGTACGGTTAATTCATCACATTCAGCTTATATAGCCCTTTACTTATTATACAAAACACGAATGGTTAATACACACTGTAGGTTACAGATGAGAGACAAAGCCATCATTAAACCAGATGGTTCAATATCAAAAGATGGACAAATGCTTCAGACAGGTATATACCACAAAGAGGGAGTGTGCGCTTCCCATTCTCAAGCTGCCTGATGTATGGCCAGATCACCCAATTCTCAGATGCCCCCTTCAGTTTCCCCCCCTGCCACATTACACTTAAGGCAGTCTAATCCTGTATATCTTCATTAGTTAATATAACAGAGGAATTAATTCAGAGAATAAGGCAAATTGCCGTGTGTTCACATTCTTCAATCGTGCAGAGCACTATAATTCGGAGTTTTTCAAATGCCATTGCGATGACAAAGCAAACCGCCCATCTGCAAAAACTGCCACTTCTAAGGTCTCCTTCATGTTGTTTTTCCTACACGTGAATGTTCGGGGAGGGGGTAGCAGGACACACAAACAGCAAATGCATGCAACACGACTACCACACACAAGATCTCCATGTTTCCACCTCCTTTAGTATATTGTGTATGGGAAGCATCCTGCATCCCCAAGTTTACCCAAGCTGAGAAATGAATTTGGGACACTGATTCCTAGGCATCCGAATAAGGAGACGCTCAACAGTTGCAACCCACAACAAGCCTGTGCAGGGCACTTTCTGTTGGTTTTAAGCAGGATCAGCCTCCAGTAAAGCTCGTATGGGCTGCACAAATCGAGAGGAGTTTCATTCTGAACTGTCAGCAGCAAAGAACATAAAAAACCAAGCCAAATCCCTCCAGGGTCAGGAGTGTATACAAAAGACAACAAGAGTTCTTTCCCAGCAGGGAGTTAACTTCTGGTACTTCCTAGAATGTAAATTAATGCATTTGACTCTTTACAAATAAGCTTTTTAAAAAGTGTAGGTGTCTTTCACCCCACATAAACAGGTTAGCTGATCCAGCTGTTCTGATTTCACTAGCCCAAGAATAGCTCATCTCAGTCTTTCATTCATTTAAGACATCAGGGAGCCAAGGCCGCTTAGACTATGAGCAGCTTCGAGAAAATTCTTACATTTGAAAGCAAGGGGAGGAACTGATCAAGGGATGTCAAAAAAAGGTAGAGCAATCAAGTTAACGCAGCATAATAAACAGGCACTGAAATAAACGCCAGTATAATTTAACATAGTTCAAGGAATGATACAATTATGTGCTCACAGGAATTCCTAGCCCATTTTTTTTGAGGTGCAGCTCCTACAACTGGTGGATGAGCATGTGAAATGTTAGGAATGCTGGATACTGCAAAAGCACAACTAAGGAACAGAGCTTCGTGTATGATTGGCAGACAGACCCACAACATTTAGGGTTTGGGAGGGAGAACTGAGGAACTGGCCTCTATGACAAAGAGCCCACAGAATGCCAGGGTTTGGCAAAGGCAGCACAAAGTAGATAACGATTACCTTTGGGGGCATAATAACCATAACAAAAATAGATTTGTGGCAAAAAAAAAAATCACACACCAGCACCTTGTGGAAATGTGCTGGAAAGGTGGGTTAAGCTAGGTAGCCGCAAGCTGCTATCTCACCATTTACCGGTGCCATGTCAGAGCATTTGTGCAAGTGATCACCCCCCTCCCCATATCATCACTTCAATTATTCGTCTAAATCTGATAAGGGGCAATTCGTACGTATACAGACTCAAGTCCAAAGTCATAGTGGGCTGTGTATGTGCTACCACACACCAAGGCTGTGTTTATATTTACTCTTACATGGTACAGGAAGAGAAAGGAGAGATACAAACAAACAAACAACCAGGGAAAGATTTACTGTCTGCAGTATACCCTTTCAGAAAAAGATATTAACATCCACTTAAACACACATTTGAGTTTTCTGTTGCTAAAAAAATCTGTTAAAATCTTGTTTAAAAGCTCAGGCGCCCCCTCACCAAGTAAGTGCTATCAAGCCAATTCCCTACCAAAATGCTTGTATGCTTCTGTTAAGTGATGTGCAAACCTAACTAAAAGTCAAACACGTCCTACAGAACTTAAGTGCATTTCAGCGAATGATCCCAAAGCAAATGACATTTTCAGGCTATATTTAATTCTAGGCCCTGTACGAAAAGGAAGTGTTAGAATGCAACAGACAAAAACAATCAAGCCTTTCCCACTGTGCAAAGAAACATGAACTTAGGGAGCAACTGGATGAAACGTGAGACAGCCGTGACCCACAGTGCAGTCCTAAGCAGAGTCAGGCCCTTCTAAGTCCACTGAAGTCAATAGGTGGGCACAACCCTGCGGAGGACTGCACTGCAGGTTGAAAAGTAAACAGAGGGCCCCCAATTTGGACTGGGGCTTTGTGCGTGTGTGTTGGGGGGGGAGAGTAGAAATCTGCCCCCTCCAGTGGTTATTTATCAGCCTTGTTAGAGAAACAAGAGAGAAGTATGATATGGGCACCTTGTCTTTCTTCTCATGCTGCTAATGGCAGTTCAGAAAAATTGCATGAGGACAAAGAATTAACCTCTCCCTCTCAAACAAAAACTGTGGCCCTGATCTGAACCCGGGCTGAGAGGGAAATCAGCTGCTTTAAAAACGTATTTTGGGAGATGTGACCTCCCCGTGTCCCACTGGGTTTAGAATAGGAGTGTAAGTGCTACGTTATATATCGGAAAACCTCTTGAACTTCAGCCAGTTTTTTTAAAAAAATAAACTGAGGAGCTGTGCTATTTTATGACAAGCGCAGAAATCCGTAGACATTCAAGTGTTGCCCTGATTGCTTAATGGAGCGGCTCCTTGTGAGGCTTAATTACATCTATTCAGACTTGCTCGTGAAGAGGAAAGGCAGGAGCTGTGACAATGGAAAGAAAGCACGCTTTATATATGCTCTGGATGACTCTGAAGACAGGAGATAATCTCTTGGACAGGCCTCCCTTCGTAGCAGATTTGATAGACGGCGGCAAAGAGTGGAAACCTAAAAAAGACAACACAGAAAGGCAATGTCTAAGGGCCTAACCATGTGAAACAATGGCCTCATGTCCGCCCATGTGTTCCCCTCTCCTAGGGTTCCCAAATCCCCCCGGGGGGCGGAATTCCCCCCGGTTTCGAGCCCCGATTCCCGCTCCCGCGGAATGGGGGCCCGGGGGAAACCCCACCCCCGTGTGTGCGTCACCCGGAAGTGACGTCGCACGCTGGGGGCGGGGCGACGCCATTTGAGGGGGAAACAAAGAGTTTTCCCCTCGAATGGCTGCCATTTGAGGGGAAAACTCTTTGTTTCCCCCTCAAATGGCGTGGCCCCGCCCCAGCGTGTGACGTCACTTCCGGTAACGCTCCGGAAGCACGCGCGCGCAAAGCGCACGCACACATCCCCGGCCAGCTCCCGGAGCTACAGGATGCTCCCCCACCAGTAAGCTTTTTCGATTTGGCAACCCTACCCTCTCCCCACTGTTTTGTCGGCCAGACATGAATTGGGAGTTCCACACTCAGAACTTAATTCCCAGGCGTGCCCAGAGAAGGAGCCATTTTCCTGACCTGAACAACCCAAGGGAGACACTATTTGCCCCTCTAGGGAAACTTATGGATGACAATAGATTCAGGTGGGTAGCCATGTTGGTCTGAAGCAGCAGAACAAAATTTGACTCCAGTGGCACCTTGAAGACCAACAAAATGTTATTCAAGGTAGAAGCTTTCACATGCACGCACACTTCTTCAGATAGCTTATACCTTGAATAACATTTTGTTGGTCTTCAAGGTGCCACTGGACTCAGACTTCGTTCTTATGGATGATAAGTGCAGCATCTATGATCGTGATCAATGCACCATCAATACGGTGCAGGTGGGCTGCTTTCTGTGCTGCCCCTGCGACACACAGGACAACAGCAGTGGCAGCACAGATGGAGGAGGGAGGGATCGTCTTTTTGTCTTTGTTGTGGCTGTTCAGGTCCGGCACTGACATCAGAGTCAGGTGCCCACGTGCACACACACCATCACTGTCATTCCAACAAGGCGCCACTGGACCTGAGGAGCCATAGCAAGAGGCTCCCACTTCGCAGCTATCCATGTCAAAAAGCCAGGGGACCATGGGGTCACAAGTGCTGTCCCCGCCCTGACCTGGATAGCCCAGGTATGCCCGAACTCACCAGAATCTCAGAAGCTAAGCAGGGCCAACCCTGGCAAGTAACTGGAAGGGAGACCTCCAAGGAATACCAGGGCTCAGGATGCAGGGGCAGGCAATCAAGCCACTTCTCTGAAAGGTCCAAGCCCCAGTAGGGGTCGCCAGAAATCACCGTGACTTCCAGGCATGCAAGCGCACACACACACACACACCCCAAGTGCTTCCCCCCCCCCCATCATCACATCACTCCATGCAGATGCCTGGCCATGAGCCAGCCTGATTGAAAGTGAAGCTTTCGTGAGTGGGAAGTACAAGCCCACAACTTATTTCCAGTCCCCCAAATCTAAATCAGACCATGCTCTGGACAATCCTCTGAACCAAGTATCTGTCTTGATATATGGCTTCAGCTCAGGGTACAGTTCACTGCAGAGTCTGTTGGACAGTAACCCGTCCCCCAATAGCTACCAGAAGATAGTAGTAGCAAATTCTACAAGAAAAAGCATTTAAACCGCATGGGCTCAGCATATCCCACATTTTCTTACTTACTTCTCCACCAATCCTTTCTGCTTAAGGATGCGATACACCTCTGCAGAAGTCTGTGGTCCTTGGAGCTTTTGCCCATTCAGCATCTCTTGCTCCAACTCTTCAATTGACTAGAAAGTTTTTTAAAAAATCATAAATGTAGATGCTCACTTTAAAACAATGTGGTGGTTTTTCCTACCCATTAGAAGAACTTCAGATAGAAGTTTTTAAAAAATGCTTTCAGCAAAAAAACAGCTGGGCAAAAGAACATCAGGCACCAAGCCTATTGCAAATCTGCAGTCAGAAGATAGCAGAGAATCACTCCAGACCCCCGACTAGGATCTGTAAAATTCTTGCGCAGCAGTGAGGATATGAAAGTGGCATGAGCTAGCAGGAAAGTCCAGATCAGATGGAGGTCTCCCCACTAGGGTTGTCACCTCTGGCTTAGGAAGTTCCTGGAGATTTGGGGGGGGGGGTTCCTGGGGAGGAAGGGGAAGCTCAACAATGATGTTATGTCACTCTAGGACTTCCATTACTCCTTGGCTCTATGGTAGTCCATAGAATCTGCACTCTGAAGTTGCCATTTCCTCAACAGTAACTGATCTCTGTAGTCTAGAGATCAGTGGTAACTCCGGAAGAACTCCAGGTGGGCCTGGAGGTTGGCAACACTATTCCCCCATCCACAATGCAAAGTAGCAGGAGTTAAGTGGAAGAGAAAAGGAGGGTTTATTGTACCTGTGAAATGAATTCTGAATTGCTTGTGATGGCCAAAGGGTCTGGTTCTGTTATTTACAAGTGAACTGGCCTTCTAGACTTACTCTAAACCTCCTGAAAGGAACTGGATTAAAAGAAAAAAAACCCAAACCACAACCCAAGCAATAGTTCCCAGTGGATTTAACAAGCAGCAAATCTGGCATGTGATGATACGGAATGCCTGTCAAGGTAGTATCTACATGTGAAGCCCATAAGACTGGCCTCACTGAAATCGGACTAAGTGCTCACACTCCGTCTACAATCCAGTGGCCAGCCAGATGCCCCCTGGAAGCTCCGCAAGCAGGACATGGCCAAGACAGCGCCACTGTTTGTTACCAGCGAACATGGACCACACAGATGCCATTTGTAGCTTTCAGGTGTGACAGCCATTCACAGACCTCTCCTTGTCAGGCATCTTCCCCACCCTATGACACACAGGTCATTCACCGTCCTCCCCACCCTGCCTTTGCAACTCTGCTTTCCTATTCTAAGGGAAAGGCCACAAGGCAGCACCGTAGGCTCCCAGTTCTCCTTTCCAAGGTAATCTCTTGCGCTCCCAGCTAAGGCATTCTTGTGCTCAAGGAGGGATGCTAAGTGTGAAAGCTACTGAGTCTGCTGGAATGCCCCCAGTGGTCATTTGGATCGGCGGCAAAGGCCACTGCAGGCTGACGCAACTGATACGAGCTGCACTATGGGACTTCCGGGGCAACACTAAGCAGAGCTGCCCCCTTCTACGGCCATTGACTTCAAGAGAGTTAGAAAAGTATAACTGTGTGGATGAGCAAGGACTTGTTCCACATTCACAGCCTTGGAACACCTTGTGGGGCTTAAGATAAAAATGTATTAGGGTAACGAAAACGCCCAGCAACATTAGGCACCGCCCTACCCCTTCTACAGCAGATTGCATTAATCTATATTTCCACAAAGCACAAGAACACTCCAAACAAAGAAGGCTCAATCTAGACAGTAGATTGTAGATTAATATCAAAAAGTATGGAGCCCCCTCATAGTAGTAGTTGTACTGTTAGTATCCATTGATTGAGAAAATACATAATGACAAAATATAAAAATGAGAATGCTTAGTACACATATTGATTTGTGGACATCTTGTAATAGCTCCATGGGCCCCCCCACTGGGTCCCCCCCCAGGTTGGGAACTACTGATCCAGAGTCCCTCTCAGGCCATGAGAAAACACCTCAGATACTGTACCTTTCCTGTTTTCACAAATGCTTCGGCCACTCTCCGGTTACGTCCACCGTAACACGTGGTGATGAGATCTGCCACCCCGCAGCTTTCCAGGAAGGTGGCAGTGGACACCTGCCCCTTGCAGAAGATTTTTGCAAAGGCGATCATTTCCATTAGTCCGAGCCTAATGACAGCAGCTTTGGTATTGTCACCACAGCGAAGGCCATCACAAAAGCCAGCTCCCACTGCCACTATGTTCTATTGAATAAAAGAGGGGGGGAAATGATGCTGAAACAATGGCATGGTTCAGACACTCTGAAGTGGCAATGAAATCTTCAGGCTTACTTATGAGCCACAGAGGGGCATCCACCTTCCCCGACCCTGCACTAAACCCACAAAAACTGGAGTGTGATCCAGTGGACAGGGCGCCAGTCCTCCTCAACCAAAGAAACTTAATTTCACATCCCACAACAGCTGGTCATGAGCATCACCCATTCTACATTTGTAAAATAAGAGTTGTAGGATATAACAAGCTTAACACAGACACCAATGGCATCTATGCATGTAGAAGGCCCCAGATTTACTGTGCAATCTTATGCAGAGTTACTCCAAGTCCATGGAAGTCAGTAGGCTTAGAGTAACTTTAGAGTAACTGGAGTAACTTTGCATAGGGCTGCATGTCAATTTGCAAGATCTTCAGTTAAGAGAGCTTTGTATTAGGGTAAAATCCCCCACCTGAGCTTGTGGAGAGCCACTACATGTTGCACACCCTCTACTAAACTAGCCAGTGGTTTGACTCTGTATAAAGAAATTTCGTATGCTCAAATGGTGAATAATATATCTACCAATGTCCAAACCTATTTTCCCTTTCAAGAAACATACAGCATCTAGACAGGCAATAGATCACAAGGTTGAGTTCAGATTCAGTGAACTGCAGAGAACTTTGCCAGAGCAGATACAGTTCAGAATAGATTGCCAATGTGCATCTTGCCAAGTTTAGCAGAGAGCCAGCATAAATAACGAAGCTTCTCTTGCATTCCCTCTCTCCTAGGACACGGAACTGCCAACATGAAGCTACTCCACATCAGAGGAAGAGCTGGAGAAATATGGAATGATCAAGGCACAGCAACAATTCTGGGACACACACACACACACATACACACATACATAGACTTTTACTGGCATAATACAGCAGCAAAGGGATACACAACACTGCTAATATATCACGATGAACAATGGATCTGTGCAGGGGGAGCTCAAAACAGAGCCTGCAGAGCAGGTGTGTGGGAAAGGCATTATCAGGGACAAGTGGCATTGTGCTGTCTTGGCTGGCTGCCACAGAGACCACACACTGGAAGCTTGTAAACACAGTCCAGAATCCAGCGCGGTCAGAGCCGAAAGTCAAAGAGCCAGAAAGTCAATTCATTGCAAGGACAAGGAGCGGCTGCTACACACATGCAGGAGCAGGTCTGAGTGAGCAAAGTTGCTGCCACGTTGAACCAGGTGCACTGAGTGCTTTTGAAAAGGTCCTTTCTTCCCTGGGGTTGAGTCTGCAAAGGCTTACAGCTCTTCCCTCTGTCTCTGCAGGAGCTGGAGTCTGGCACGCCTTCTTCGCTCCTACGTAGTCAGCCTCTGGCGTGCCCTATGTCTGGGGCACTCAGGAGAACTAGGCAAGGAGTCTGGCCTTGGGATGTCTGCAACTGGGGGTGCTGGGCCAGGCTCAGGATCGGCCTCTCCTTCTGGCTGCACCTCCTGTGCAGTTGTTGGGGACTCTTCCTCCTCAGGTACAGTTGAGGGTTCTTCTTATGGGCTGCTCCCTGCCTCTTCCTCATCTGAGGTGTAGTCAGCCCCAGCCGACCTAGGACCCACGACAGGCGTTCTTGAAAGTAACAGTGCTTCTGGCTCCCCCCCCGCCCCCGGCAAGCAACTCTGAAACTGTCTTGGCGACATGGAAAGGGCAGAATAAATAATGGACTGGATCCAGCAGAAAATTTTCACTAATGGAAGGGAGGCCATTTTGGTGGACTCCCCCCCCCCTTCTGTTCCTGTGGGCCCCCTATTGTCAGGAGCAGCAAGTCAGGGGACATTTTAGGCTTCTGCAAGAGAAGGGAGATGAAGAAGTCCAGCTATGGTGACAGAAGTCCAGCTTCCTCCCGTGGAGAGGCCTGCACGTGAGGAGCAAGCTGCAGGGTACCATTGTTTCCTTATGTCTCCCTGTGAATAGTCACTGTTGGAGGGGGAGGGCAAGATATGAGAGGGTCATACTGGAGAGAGACCCCTCCCCAGTCTTAAGGAAAAATGTATGTTGAGAATTCGGGCAACCCACTTCATCACCTATAACCGTCCATCGACACCCCACTGCTGGATGTGGCTGTGCATTTCACACATTGCGGAATGCCCACAGCGTCAGAAAAGTAACATGCAATGCTTTAGCCATGACTCAGCAAACTGATGACAGTCATGTTGGACAAGCAGTTCCCTGCCAAAATTATATTTTTGTAGCAAAGGGGAGGAGCCCTTCTGAAGCTCAGAGGATTGCAAGGAGAAGGGGAACTGCATCCTCAGAGCTAGAGTCTCACTCCCCCTAGAAATTAGACGGGTTTTGCTTTGTCCTTGCCTATTGCAGAAGGAAGGGCTTCTTCCACTCCGACCAGAGTGCTAACAGGAGGACAGGATGTCCTCTAGCCATTCAGAGATCACAAGGGCCATTCAGAGATCACAAAGAGTGTCCCTTTTAACTTACAGGGAGATTTCCCAGAAGGTTGGTGATAACCACACAAGCAGAGATCAGAGACTCTGTGAGCACCACAGAGATAGCTCGGGTTGGACCCTTCATAGTGAAAACACTGATCTGTGTCAGCTCACCAACTGCATCCTCGCGCACTGCTGCCAGTCTGTGGGAAGAGGCAGTAAGTGAGCCAATGCCTACCGTTGCTACCGTCGGGCCTAATCAGCTTGCCTTGCTCTTGGATCACTGACTTCTCAGTCCGCCCCTGGATCTCACCATGAGCATTTAAACAGGAGTTCACACTAAGATTACTAATAATTGCTTCAGGTATTTGAAGCCTGGTGCTTCTTCACCTTCTTACAGGAAGGCATTCCCATTTAAAAGCACTTACGTACTTTTCACTAGACTTGACCTTAGTGAGGGAAAGCTTTCAAGCATCCAGCACAGACAGGAAATTCTTGCTGACAGGCAGCTGTTCCTAGCCCTGTCTCTATGGCACCCTTGGACTGCTGATAACTGCATCATGCATCTGCTATTTAAAGCAGAGATTTTACTTCCGGGGCTGTCTGCATCCCACAGTGCTTTATGTATCTCCATCAGCCCGTTTGCCAGGCACTATAAAAAAGACGTAATCTGAAGTGGATATGCAGAAGTGTGTGCGTCTCAACAGCAGATGTTCTTTCTATAATAACCATTGCAGCTGGAAGATGAGAAGGCTGCATTATGGACACAGTCTTGACAGTGTCACTTCAGCAGCTAAAATTATCATTATTGGCAGGAAAATGCCAGCTGTTCTCTCCTCAGAATTGTAATACATGGGTTGGCTTCGACCCTGATGCAAGGATCATAAGAAGAGTCCTGCTGGATCAAGCCAAGGTCACTGCCTCTAGTCCAGCAGTGCATTTCCCATGGTGGCCAGCCTATAAGCAGGGTACTGCTGACCTAGAAAACGGTACTCAGTGGCATACCCCCTCTGACGATGGAGATGTTATTTAATCGTGGTGGCTAATAGCCATTAACAGACAGATCTTCCCAGAATTTGTACAATAATATCTCTTTAAAGCCATCTAAAGGAGCTGCGGTGGCTCAAGTGGTTAAGACGCTGAACTGCAGGCTGTGGAAGGTCAGTAGTTCAGCAGTTCGAGACCCGAGTTGCCGCATGATGGAGTGAGCTCCCGTCTCTAGTTCCAGCTCCTGCCAACCTAGCAGTTCGAAAGCAAGAAATTGCAAGTAGACAAATAGGTACCACTTCGGTGGGAAGGTAACAGCGTTCCGTGCGCCTTGGTGTTTAGTCATGCCGGCCACATGACCACGGAAACGTCTTCGGACAGCGCTGGCTCTTTGGCTTTGAAACGGAGATGAGCACCGCAACCCTAGAGTCGGACTCGACTGGCTTTCGAGCAAGGGAAACCTTTACCTTTACATTTAAAGCCATCTAAACCAATGTCCATCCCTGTTAGTGCAATCCTAAACAAAGTTGCCCCCTTCTAAGTTCATTAAAGTCAATGGGCTTAAAAGGACATCATTCTGCTTAGGAGTGCATTGCATACTTGAATATTCTCTGGGTTATAATTCTGTAATTCTCCCTGAGCCTAAGTGAAAAAGGTAAATGATAAATAAACGGAATCTCACTAGTCATTTCTGCACTGCATAACAGAAGACTTCCTTTGTCTGTCCTGCATTTACTACTGAGCAATTTCATTGGATGACCCTGAAATTCTAGGAATGTATAAGAATGGGCCAGAACTTTGCTTTGTCCACTTTCTCCACACTGTTCATCTTTTACCACATCCCCTCTTAGTTGTAAAGCTACGGATCCAATAATCCCTATTGGAATCTATTTAGATGGGATGAAGGAAACAGAAGGAAAAGGAAATGCAAAGGTGTTTTTTTAAAAAAAAGATAAAGGTTTACTTTGTGGTGGACATTTTTACTGTCTTGTACTGTTGGATACTCAGCTCGGGGGCTGACATTTATAGGTAGCAATCCTTGCTTCTCTTTTAGCACCAGTGCTTGGCTTTTGACTCATGTAGCACAACACTAAGAACATGTTTCTTTAAATTATAAATTAGACATTTGGACCTTGCTGGACTATGATTTTTTTTTTAAATGAGAGAACCTTCCATTATATGCTTCTTCTTCCCAGAATGCAAGTGCTGTAAATGAACACCTATAGCAATCAAACTTGCTTTTCTCCCTTAATTTTTCAATTCATCTGACTGATGAAGGGCTCTATAGAAACTGAAATCTTGCACAATGTTCTATGGGTTGGCATCAAAGTTACGGCATGATTTTGTTTCTCTTTCTGGATTTTGAGTGAGCCAACACGAGTGTCCGCACCTTCTCCCCTATCAATTAGGACATGTTTTGAGTTAGACAAATCACAACAGGGCTATCATCGCTCTGCCCTGACCTGGATAGCCCAGGCTAGCCTGATCTCATCAGACCTTGGAAGCCAAGCAGGGTCAGCTCTGGTCAGTATTTGGATGGGAGACCACCAAGAAAGTCCATGGTTGCTACGCAGAAGTAGGTAATGGCAACCAACTCTTGCCTTGAAAACCCTCCAAGGTTGCCATAAGTAAGCATTGACAAGTACTTTCCACTACCATAATTCTCCTCTGACAACTTCTAAAATTGAAAAGCAGGTGGGCAGGAGCAGTGCTTGGCACTGCCTTCCTCTTCAGTCATACAGAGAAGAACAACACCCAATATCACAGTGCTTTCCCTTAGTTGCCAAGGAAAAAAGGCTATCTGAAAGAAGACAGGCAAGGGGAGGTCTAGCAACTTTGCTTGAGATCAGTATGTTGCTCAAGGTTACAGACAAAGCAAGCGTTTACAACAGAAGTAGAGTCCTGCTGGATCAGACCACTGGTGCATCTAACACAGCATCCTGTTTTGTACAGCGTCCAAGGAGTCAGCCTGGTTGAGGCTGAGGCCTTCCCCTCGTGTTGCTTCCTTGATTCAGAATTAAGCCTGGCACTGAATTCTCAAAGCGAACTGCTCTCTAATTTTAGGGGAAGAGAGTTCAGTAATCTTTTTTCCTGCTCCAAACTAATCTTACCTTAAGTGCACCACAAAGTTCAACTGTGTCTGCGTCATCCACCACAGTAATTCGGAAGTTTGGAGTCTGAAGGAGTTCTTTGAAGAGGAGGCCATTCTCCAAAATTTTGCAGCCTTTTTAGATGGATGAAAACAAGAATGGAAGAAAGCAAGAAACCTTATTTGAAGAACCATTCTCAAACAAAGCAGAGATCATCAAAATAAAAGCTCTTCCTTGAAACCTAAATGTATAATTTGAAATAATTTATTATTTAATTCGTTTGTACCCCACCTTACTCCCCAATGGGGATCCAAAGTGACTTACACTGTTCCCCCTCTCTTCCATTTTATCCACACAACAACCCCTGTGGGTTAGGTTAGGCTGAGACAGTGTGACTAACCCAAGGTCACCTAATGTGCTTCCATGGCACAAATGGGGATTCAAACCCGGGTTTCCAGATCCTAGTCCAACCACTACACCACACCGGCTCTCGTTTATTTTAGTGTCCTGTAGGGCAAGTTGACAGTTAGTGACTCAAGGTCATCCAAAGAGCTCACGATTGAACTGTGATTTCCATCTAATTCTCCTTGAGCTATGTACACTATACCAGAGACTAACAAACTACCAAAGGTCATGCAGCCCTCAGTGAACATGTTTGGGTTGAGCTGGGGCACATTAATGCCGTAAGGGTCATAAACTATTGGGCCACACAGAAAGCACTAATCTAGCCCACCCTTCCTAATGTGGTTGACATTGCCTTCCTCATATGAAGCAAAACTGTGTATTCTAATGGACGGTGCCCTCCATATAAAAAAAGTCATCTTCTGCCTAGAAAGGATCCACCTCAATGGGACAAAAAAGTTAATTATTTAGATTGACAGCAAGCCATGGTACAGTGGCAACTTCCCCTTTATGAGCACGCTAGGGAAGCTGGAAAATTGTCTTTGGGACCAGGATGAATGTCTCTAGAAAACCAGTAATCAGTCAAGACACAAATAGTTCCAGCTTCTTTCCACAATATTTTCCCACTTGTATCTTTGAAAGAGAGAGAAGTTCAGTGGAGAAGGGGGAGGGGGGAGTAGTAATAGGAGATGTATACCCCCGCCCTTCACTCCTAAGAGTGGCTTACAAAACTCCTTTCCCTTCCCCTCCCCACAACAGACCTGTGAGGTCTGTGAGGTAGGTGGGGCTGAGAGAGCTCTTTCCAGAACTGGCCTTGAGAGAACAGCTCTGACAGAACTATGGCTTGCCCAAGGTCATCCAGCAGCTGCAAGTGGAACCCAGTTCTCCCAGATTAGAGTCCGCACACTTAACTACTACATCAAAATATGAAAGAATAGAGAACTGCCTCATGCTCACTCAACAGTGGGAGTATTTTTATTCAGGGGATCAATTAGCCCTCAAGATTACCTATTGTGGTTTCACAGAACTTCTCTGCTGCAACCTCATTGGCTATGTTTGCCCCCATCAGCACACTGATGTCTATTCCCATTTTCTCACGGATGATGTCAGAAATGAGTTTGAGTCCTTCTGGGCCTTCATCTATTCCCTGTGGTAAATATTGAAAGGAAATTGCTAGAAGTCAGTAGTCACAACATGAAAGACAACTGGGATAACTATCCTTGCCAGTGGATGAATTTACAATGATTTACATATTATTTGCATCAGGCTCAAATGTCCTTTCCACAGGGACTAGTAGGCCACTGCTTCACTTGTGAACCATATTACCATCATGGCTTTTGTTTCTGACACACACCATTTTTAGAAATCTAATCCAAATAAAAGATTTTTATATTGGGTTGGATCCAAACAGCTTTTTGCTGGTGAACATGGAAAGAGGGGTTAACTTTGGCCAGTCAAAAACACTACGCTGGGATCATGGCATCCTCATGTAAAATGGAGGAGAGGAGAATGATGTAAGCTGCTTTGGGTCCCAATCAGAGAAAAGGCAGGGTATTAATGAAATTATGCATATACATGTGTGCACGTGTGCGTATATATCCATGCGTAGGTAAAGGTAAAAGGTAAAGGTTTCCGTTGCTCAAAAGCCAGTCGAATCCGACTCTAGGGTTGCGGTGCTCATCTCTGTTTCTAAGTCGAAGAGCCAGCGCTGTCCGAAGACGTTTCCGTGGTCATGTGGCCAGCATGACTACATGCCGAGGCGCACGGAATGCTGTTACCTTCCCACCAAAGCGGTACCTATTTATCTACTTGCAATCTCTTGCTTTCGAACTGCTGGGTTGGCAGGAGCTGGGACCAGGGACGGGAGCTCACTCCGTCATGCGGCAACTCGGGTCTCGAACTGCTGAACTACCCACCTTTCAGCCTGCAGTTCAGCGTCTTAACCACTTGAGCCACCGCAGCTCCCATATCCATACGTACAAATGTACAAATGCCACGTGGGACAGGGGCTGCAGAACTGGGTGAGACTGAGTGAAAAAGCTGGCTGGACCTAACCCACTGAAACAAATCAAAGCATTTAACATCCCTTGTCTGTATCATCCACCAACGAGATGGTAATCTCAACTCACAAACAAAGCAGAACATCTCCACATGTCACTAGCAAACAGTGCATCATTATTCCTGGACACACCTAATTCCACAGTACATGCAGTCACAAAACATTTGGAAACAAAAGAGTACATATCAAATGGAGATAGCCAGGGGTTTTTGTTTGCATTTACTTCTTATTTTGGCTAATAGGCTGAAACCTGATTTTATACATTAAGACAATTAATATGGGTTTTTTTAAAAATCAGCGTGATGTATGAAGCACTTCTGTGCATGCACAGAATAGGCAAGAAGGGCGTTGTACCAATTTTCTTCTTCTGTGGCACCCCCCCACACACACATCTCAAGGGGCGCAGCTGTAGAAGATCACCCCTGACATTTGCAAATGTTTTGAGAGCACAGGGGACCACTGTGTGGAGGGGAGCTGAAAAAAATCCCATGCACATGCAGAGCACTGATCACAATGCTTGGGATCTCAGCCAAAAGTTCTTGGAAGCTATTTTTACATGCAATTCCCCTACCCTTGAAAGCTATCCAAGGATCTGAGCTATTCAAGGTTCCCAAAGTTGAAGTTCTATCACTGTGTCACACAGCATCAGGCCTGGCCAGATCAGTACAAGGACAGAGCTGAGACTGGAGCTTCACTGAGGCTGCTGTAAATTCTTGGGAAGATATATACCAAATAAACAAGAATCCAGGAAGAACTGTTGCAAGCACAACAAAAGGAAAAGGAGCCAAGATGATATCTAACTTCCTCCTTTAATTAAAGTCTTCAAATAAGGGGAAATGAGATGAATATTTTCCACAACCCCTCCCCCCATTGAACTGTTTTAGAGAATCCCTTTATACGCTCAAAACAATGCATACCATTTCTTATATACCTTAATGAGAGTTATGCCGATAGCTTTCTTGGCTACATGCCCTGTCATCTCATCACAGATTTTATGAATGAACTGGTGGGGAATGACAAAAACCAACATATCCGCATCTTTAACAGCTTCTTTCAAGTTTGGGATGGCAACCTGTACCAAATAAAAAACAGGTGGAGGGAGAGAGAAGAGATGTGAAACAAGGATCTTTCTTTCTTTCTTTCTTTCTTTCTTTCTTTCTTTCTTTCTTTCTTTCTTTCTTTCTTTCTTTCTTTCTTTCTTTCTTAAAGCTATGTTAATCCTAATTATAAATTTATTCTAAATAAAATATTTTGTTTATTCCCCCTATTCAGTAGAATTGATAATTCCTACCGTTGTCAAAGAAAACAAAAGATTTCCAAGCCAAATAAGTCTTAGTGGGCAATGGTCACTTAAGGGCCTATCAACAACCTCAAACCTATCTACATAGTTCAATAAAGCAGATGGTATAGCAAAATAATCGATTATACTAGCCCATAACATTGACAAGTAAGTAAAAGAGCCACCAGATACATCCAAATAAGTACCATTTAGGACATGTAGGTTAGCCCATGAGAGCAATTCCAAGAATTTAAGACCAGATTTGTTAATAACCTTGTCCTTGGAAGAGCGATCTAATAGAAACGCGTGAGCAGCAATTAAAGAGCTCATACTAGCTCTTGTGTCTAAGGCACCTGCTCCAATTCTGGCGTTGAAGTCACTGCCTAGTATAAAATGTGAATTGGGAAACTGGGAAGTTAAGACTTCAATGGAGGCTCCCATCCAAGCCAAATAACTAAGCAGATGCTGAGCCAAAGGTTTGCTGGCCTTTGCAAGGACTGGAAAGGAAAAAATCTGGATGTGCACATTAGGGATGGGCACGACCCTAAAAATTCCAGTTTGGTTCGGGGTAGTTCCTGAACCAAACCGGAACCGAGCCAAAAAATGCCTGAACCGAACCAGCCAGTTCAGACTCCCCTTTGTCCCAGCCTTGGCATGTCGCGACTAGGAGAAGGGGGGGGGTTGTCCAGGAAGGGTTAAATGGCTTGCAGGCATTTATCTTGTCTGTTTCGCTTACCCCTACTTCAGGGGGCGGGTGTGAAACAAACAGGTTTAATGGCTACCAGCCATTTAAACTTAACAGCTGACAGGCAGATCCACCCCACTATTAGGTTTAAATGGCTAAAAGAGAGGGTAAAACGCCAAGATAAACAGTCACAAACTATAATAAAAAATAAAATACTTATATTTATAGCTTAACAAGTGTCACCTTTTACACCTAACACCATGTGTAAATGTAACATCCAAACACCGGTGGTAATGGCTAAGATAACACAAAATTAAAAGAGAGGGTAAAACGCCAAGATAAACAGTCACAAACTATAATAAAAAATAAAATACTTATATTTATAGCTTAACAAGTGTCACCTTTTACACCTAACACCATGTGTAAATGTAACATCCAAACACCGGTGGTAATGGCTAAGATAACACAAAATAGTGCACACAGGCACTCAACACAATTTAAACCAACAAGGTGCTGTTTTTCCTGTGCTCACAGGCACACAATAATTTCTGCAGGTGCTATTTTTCTTGTGCTCTCAGGCACTGATTTGTACAATAAGCATAAACTATAAATTCCAAAAGCAAATAATTATAGACTATGTGTCCATTGTTATATAATGCTGAAACAGGCTTCCAAAAACTTGATAAGGAGCCATTGCATGTAGACAATATTCAGGCAGGTGGGTCGTTGAAACCCACTGCTGAAATGGCTTGCAGTCATTTCAGACTAACAGTGGGGCAGGTGCACCTATCTGCTGTTGGGTTTAAATGGCTGGCAGCCATTTCAGCAGTCTGTTTCACTCCCCCTGCTTGGAAGCAAAACCCATCGCTGCAATGGCTTGTAGCTATTTAAACCTAACAGTGTGTGGTGGGTGTGCCCATCCGCTGTTAGGTTTAAATGGCTGCAAACCATTTCAGCGCTCTGTTTTGCTCCCACCCGTCCAAGCAGAAGGAAGTGAGATGGAGCGCTGAAATGGCTGCCAGCCGTTTAAACCTAACAGGTGAGCTGCAGACCTGTGCCGCTTAGCTGTTAGGTTTAAGTGCCCTGAACAGCTGAACCAAAACGGATAAAAGTCCAGGAAATGTTCAGGGAAGGCACATTGGCTTCGAACAGGGCCAAGTTTGTGCCGAATTATGCCTCATGAACCGGTTTGTGCTTACTTTGTACACTTCAAAACCTGTCTGTGCTTACTTTGTACACTTCAAAACCTAACTGCTGCATATTTAACTAATTGCAATAGCAAAAATTACCAAAATAGAAAGGCAGAAGCAAATTTGGGACATCTATCTGCCTAACATAACCTAGTGAAATAATACTGCTGGTACTTCTGCTTCTAAGTGGGAGAACATTGTTGATTTTAATTGGATTAACTAGGAAGATAAAAGAATATTTGCATTTCATAAAAAAATTTAATTTGTGAAAAAGCACTCCAGGTAACTCTGCACAGGATTGCACTGTAACATCTAAACCTATTGACTTTAATTGCCTTCGACTGGAGCAACTCTGCCTAGGACAGCACTGTAAGGTATTTTGTAAGGTACTGTAAGGTATTTTGTAGCAGTGACAGCAATCCCAAGCGGGTCTACTCAGAATGCAGTCAGATCTATTGAATTGAATTCACTCCCAAAAACAGTTCTTAGGATTGCATTGTTAGCAACTACCTTACTACCAGGGCTATTTTTGAGCAGGAACGCACAGGAACGGAGTTCCGGCTGGCTCCCAAGTTGGCCACACCCAGCATGAACTCATTAGCATAATAGGCCACACCCAACATCAGAAACTCATTAGGATTGGTTACATTAGGGGTGTGTGGCCTAACATGCAAAGGAGTTCCTGCTACAAAAAAGCCCTGGGTTTTGTCAACAAACAAGGTAAACAGAATAACAAGCAAAAGGTGGGTGTGGCTGGATAACCACACTTCTGGTAACATGGGGGTGCGGCCTAATGTGCTAATAAGATGTGATGTGACGTCAGGGGTGTGTGTTGTAAATATTAGATTCCATGTCAAAAATGAAGTCAAATGAGGAGGAAGTTCTTGTATTTTATTGTAATGAAATATGGAAAACAGTTAGGCCAAAGGACACATCAAAACTGATTGCTTTCTTCTCAGCATAATCAGGAAAAATGCCTCAATTAATAGGAAAACAATTAGACCAAATAGTTAACCAAACATTGACAACTTTCTTCTTTTTCTTCTTCATCTTCTTCTTGAGCATATTCTGAACATATTCAGGAAATACATGCTATTTTATACATGGACTGACATCATCAAGAAAACAATATTCAAACAGCGTAATTGGTTACAAAAGACAGTGGTAATTTGAGTAATGATCCTCTGATTGGCCAAATATAAAGAAACATATATCTATGCCAAACTAAGTGTTTACTTAACCTAACCTAAATGTTAATGGGCAAGGAATCTTCATATCTCAAACAAAAGTATTCATTACTGATAGGAGACTAAAATCTTATCTGACCCAGACATTGAAAGGTTTGCCCTAAGAACTACAGAATAATGAACTTTATACCTATTATGTTGTCTGCTAGCAATATCAGACCTACAAGAGGAAAGCCTTCTATATAACAGGCCTTTCTAACATCCTAATAAAATATTACTTAAAGAACAAATCAATAAAAACCAGACAAATATGAATATGAACAATCAAGAAGGAAAAACCTATATATAAAAATCATTATATTCCCATTCATACTACATGTGGCCTAATATGCTAATCAGTTTCTGCTGTTGGGTGTGGCCTATTATGCTAATGAGTTCCTGCTGGGCTTTTTCTACAAAAAGAGCCCTGCTTACTACTATCAATAATATAGTCATTTGTACTCTCTTGGTATTTTCCTGTCCAGAGTAACTACCCTCTATCTAATTGCTCTAGATTTACCACCATCCCCCCATATTCCATTCATAGCTTCCCTGTTAAAAACAGCAAGGAATATGGTCAACGATACCAAAAAACAATATGCTCCACGGAACAGTTGCACAACAGAGCTACATCTCTGCCAAAGGGGATAATTACAGCTACTTGATCAAGAATGAAATTTGGGGACTAAGATTTCTTGGTCTGAGAAAGAAAAAGAACTGGATTTTTTTGCGTCCTAGGTGCCGGGACAATGGGTAGGGTTGTCAGCTCTGGATTGGGAAATACCTGGAGGTTTGGAGGGCAGAGCCTGGGGAGGACAGGGACCTCAACGGCCTACAGTGCCATAGAGTCCACCCTCCAAAGCAACCATTTGCTCCAGGGGAATGGATCTTGGTTGTCTAGAGATCAACTGTAATAGCAGGAGGTCTCCAGCTGCCACCTGGAGGTTGACAACTCTAACAATGAGCAATTCACAGACTCCACCAAAAGTTCATAAAGGTCCAGGTATTCTTTTCAGCTTATCTTATAAGCAAGCTTGTTAATGTATTAAGTAGCCCAGAGCCCAGCATTAGTGCTAAAACACTCAGCACTCAGTAAAATGCAGACCTTTTTTCACAGTCACCATTGGGACTGCTGTACAGTTGTGCTGCGGTGGCTCAAGTGGTTAAGACGCTGAACTGCAGGCTGTGGAAGGTCGGTAGTTCAGCAGTTCGAGACCCGAGTGCCGCATGACGGAGTGAGCTCCCGTCCCTGGTCCCAGCTCCTGCCAACCCAGCAGTTCGAAAGCAAGAAATTGCAAGTAGATAAATAGGTTCCGCTTCGGTGGGAAGGTAACAGCGTTCCGTGCACCTTGGTGTTTAGTCATGCTGGCCACATGACCACGGAAATGTCTTCGGACAGCGCTGGCTCTTCGGCTTGGAAACAGAGATGAGCACCGCAACCCTAGAGTCGGACTTGACTGGCTTTCGAGCAAGGGAACCTTTACCTTTACCTTACAGTTGTGCAACTTGTCAGAGGCAACTACTGAAGATGGCTTGTAGCAGGTGACAACTATCCTCTCTTGGAGTTCAAACTATGAATTAGAGAAAGCAGTCGCTCCACTTCAATGCCGAGAAGGTTCCCCACAGACTAAAAGAAACACACGCAACTAATTTGGCCAAACCTACCCATTCCAAGACTTACCACATTTTCTGGTAGCTTGTATCCAGGAAGATATTTTACATTCTCATGATCATTATTTATGATGTCAGTCAGTTTTCTTCCATTAATATTTTCTTCAAACACCCACATTTTTACGGTGGAAGCGAACTTCTTTACTGCTTTTACATTATTGCCTATTATTTTGGCTACAGCAGATCCCCTGTAATAAAGAGGGCAAAGAATGATAGTCACGCCTCAGGAAGGAAGTTTCAATATACAAGGCAATGGTCCAATTCTTATCCCAACATTCTCAAACGGAGGATAGCAGGGAGAAAGAAATGCAAAAGATTGCCACGCATACAGCCTGCATTCTGTCAATCACGCTAACGATCAGAATGAAGTTTAAATTCAGTTCAGCCAAATGAAAAGTGGGGTACAAATAGTTTAATTTTAAAAAAGAAATCTCGGTTGCATAGTAGGATAGGGTACATAAGAACATAAGAGATGCCAATGTTGGATCAGGCCAAAGGCCCATCCAGTCCAACACTCTGTCACACAGTGGCCAAAAATACCAGGTGCCATCAGGAGGTCCACCAGTGGGGCCAGGACATTAGAAGTGAGAGGTTGGAGGATCCACCTCTCACATTTAGTTGGGATTTCAAAAATTAAATGTCAACCAATTCAAAAAGTTTATACTTTATGATATTTTGATTGCATGAAAGACACGTCTAATGTTAAATCTGATAAATCAAGCTTTGCTATATTGTTTATTGTACGTAGTATACTATTTTTACAGCACTGTTCACCAGTTCTGTAATCACTTTATGTATCTTACTGTTGTTTTTATGATGAACATATTATATTGTCATTTTTACACTGAGTGCCATGGCTTTTAATCCTGCTTTGAAGCATAATTTGTGGTCGCTATTATATTGTTTTACTGCATAGTTTTTTGGCTGCTGTAATCCACCCTGAGAGCCTCAGTAAGAAATGAAGTAAGCGAACAAATATTGTCAGGGGATTCTGCCGTTTCAGGATGCTTGCAAGAACAATAAAAAGCTTTTATGAAGAAGTACAGACATGCTTTCAATGAATGGAAAGAACCCCACCCGGCAGGCAAGCAACCACATTTTCTCTTTTACACTAGCATCAAATTGCTCACATGCAAATTACGGAAGAAAAGATCACTGTATTTTCACTGCTTACTTGGGAAAGAAGGCCAGTGACGGGATACGTGCAAGCTAGCAACACACAAGAATATCTTCCTACTGGGTAGTTAACAAATAAGCATCATAACTGGAAACCAAAAAAGCCAAAAAGCATGCAATATACGTGGAAAAGGAGCACTCTATTCATGTGGAGAAAAAAACCCATTAGTCATCTGCCTATCAGAACCAAATTTAAATTTTCTTAGTGTGATTGCCAGCTGCTCTGCAACATCTTACGGGATTTATACTTAGGCATGGATCCAGCTGAGCCTTTATGTGGATAGAAGGACTTCTGCTTGAGGACTGTGGTTTTCTTGCCTCCCCCCTCCTACTGCAGCCACCCCCCCCCCCCCCCCAAGATGCTTCTCCTGGGTATTCTGGACGGCAGCAGGACGGGAAGGCAAGAAAGGGACATTCCCAGGTGGAACTTCTTCCATCCATGGAAGCACTTTTGTTGACTCTAAGCTATGAGTCCCCAATGTGGTGCTTGCTGACACCTTTCCTGGTGCCTGCCAGTGTTCCCTCTAAGCTGAGTAAGGGTGAGCCAGCTCACAGTTTTTTAGCCTCCGGCTCACACATTTTTGTCTCAGCTCAGGAAGGAGAGCTCCAAAGCAAACTAATGTATGCAGCAGCCAAATCGCTTGCTCACAACTTGAATGCCAGCAGCTCACAAAGGAGAATTTTTGCTCACGAGACTCCACAACTTAGAGGGAACATTGGACTGCCTGCCAAGTGTTTTTAGAAAGTAGGTGGAGCCAGGGGGGGCTTTTGCCCAGCAAGGCTCATGACTGGCCGCTGGAGATTTGATTGACGATGCAGATTTTTCAAAAAGTTGCTTTGTCAGCCAGCAACTGGCACCGCAGCACAAAGATCTTCATTGTATGACTGAAGGTAAGCTGCAGCAGCCGTCCTATGGCTGGCTCCACCTCTCGCGGTAGCCATTTTGTGGCCGTCATTTTTTGGCTGTGCTAACCACATAATGTCAGAATTCCAAAGCTGCCCACTGGCTCAAAAAGGTTGGGGACCCAAAGTTGTAAGTCTGTCAACACGTAACAACATAACAGAATTCTTGCCAACTCTTCTGTAATATTTATGAAATACTGTACTGCACTGGGTAGATCTTTGATAGTACAATAAAATGTGTTATTGTAAAGACATGAGAAGCAGCCCTTGGACTCCGACTCAGCTGGAATCCAACAACTGCTGGAACTAGTATTTATGTTTGAACCAGTCTTATGTAATAAATTGTGCCGTGCCAGTGGAAACAAAACAAATAATTAAAGAATGAGAGAACCCAGCCCAGCCTGACCCTATCAACACATTAACACTGGGACTTCTATGGGTAGGGAGAAGGATGTCTCCCACTGATAGCATTCTATAGCTGCAAATTTACTGCTTTAAAAATGAAGACAACCCATTCAGTTTTGTGAAGAATTTTAGTTATTTCCCCACTATTCTAGATTCTTGGGGGTTTTTTTTGTTTGTGGGGGGGGGGGGGGGGGAGAGACTGCTACTTATTCTTCAGATTTCATTGACTCCTCCTTTGAAATCCAGTGCTAGAAAGACAACCACGGGGAGTGACAGCAACTATTTCATAATTTGACTCCTGCTCTTCTATTTCCTCTCAGATTATGAAACTGAATGGCAAGTTCAGCCTGTACCAAGAATACCAGTCCATCTAAACTGCCAAAAAGCTCAGCTTCCGCTCCCATCCCCATTCACCCTTCCACAAACCCACACTCAGAACATCAGCTGCGGCACCAGCGTCCTTGACTTTGGCCTGCAGAGTTATTTAAGACACAGAAAGCAGAATGAGGCTGGTGGTTAAATTCCTGCTATAAAGATTTTTCTGCAATTTGGATTAGAGTGCAAAACGCTGAGCCTGCGGCAGTCTAATTACAAAAGTAAATTACACAGCAGGACCTCATTGCATCAAATCGTGAGGTCGGCACCTTTGAGGAGAAGGTTCAACTTCTACAACTAATGGAAAGGTAGTGGAGAGGCCACCATAGGATCCAAATGATGCCTTCCAAGCAATGGAGATCTGCTCTGGAGATGCCAAATAATACTCTGCCTGAAGCTTTTCATCGTTAGCCAAAGCCCTTTTCTTTTCTCAATGTATGCTTGTCAGATTAAAAAACCCCACATACATATTATAAAGCCAAATAAGGGCAAAATACATCATGGCAAACGCATTTGCCCCAGTAGCAAGGTATAAATAGACATTTTGTTTCTTCTAACTCATCCTTTTCACACAAACCCCTCTTCCGTGACAACAGCCTGGACATCGTCATGTGGGCAGTAATAAAATTAGACAGCCGAGGCATTCCGACAGCCTCAAGGAAGGCTTTTATAGATTGCCAAACTGAGGATACCATTCCAATGTTCTGCTCACTGTTATCAGCTGCAAAAAAGTGGTAACAGATGAATCATTTAACTATTAAATTCATTCATCAAAACCATTTGTTCCTATGAATCTGACAACTGTGTGACCTCCCTGGTGGAGGAAGGTGACAGGCAGGTTGATGCAGCTCGGTTCTGTAATCTACTCTTGTTGGTTACAGTCCAAAATCAGGGCTTATCCCCTCCCCCACTAAAATGTCAAGTGGTGTGTTCCTAGTACACTAACAAGCACCCCTAGCCTTGCCATCTACCAGGGGGAGATATCTCAGCTCAGCCCTGCTCCTCTGTTCTGGCACTTTGCAGGCAAAACCGTGAGCCCCTGTGGCTAATGATCTCTGTTGATACAATTCCTGCCTTTTTATCTAAAAGATGCTTTAATGTAATGGAAGATGGTCCCACAATACCTTCCAGTTGGCCAAGCCCCTAAATCTTTTATACAGGACTGAGAAACCACCAAAACCTTACTGAACTGGGTCCCTGGCTACTTCCCCAGTTCTGGGAATAAGGTGCCAGAGGTATTCTGGCATTTATCTGACATCTCCTTGTATAAATTGGGGTATACGGGCGCCTCCTTCTGCCACCATGGCTCCTGCTAGTTGGCTATATGCTAGGGATCATCCCTTGCCTCACTGAAACCGCCTGATTACCAGGTTCGTTCCCTTTCAAGGCAGCCTGCAAAGGGTGGAGGGGATGTCATTCCCCTCCCTCCCAGGTCTCTGGAGCCATGTAGAACAGGCTGTCTACCCCGGGACTATATTCTTGCCAAGCTGCTGATCACTACTGTCCACATAAGCTCCTTATAAAAGACCTTGTCCTGTTCTACTACCTAGCTCAATTCTAAACCTGGAACGGGAAACAGAAACAAGTCAGGGTTTTATATTCCGGTGTCTGTTACTGATACAGAAAGCACTCAGGTTACCCAGAACCTTATCTCACTTTATTCGTATTCCAGGGGAACTGTGGGGCTTTTGAAACCCTTCACCACCACCCCTCTTAGATGACTTCTGTGAGGCAAAGCACCTCTGGCCTTCCCCTCAAGGGTCAATGTGAATAATAATGGACCTGGCCCGTCTTGCAGATGTTACTAATCGGTCCCTTGGCCTTATCATCTTCAAGGCCAGAGATGGAGGTGGCATGATAAGCTTCTCATGAGAACCTGTGGCCTGCTGGAGAGAGGGAGGAGAGTCAGGGGTGATGAGGGAATTTTCTAGAGGCTTCTCCTAAGAACATGTTCTGATTGGATGTCATCCTCATCTGATATTGCTGGGCCTTTGGGCCAGAAACTATAATTATGCTATAGGCCCCGATGAAGCAAGACTAGCTGAGATCTTGTGGACTAGAGGCCTAAACTATTACTTGCTTGAATTGCAATTGCTAGCAATGTAGACAACACCTGAGCATTAGCCTTTGACTTTGGGATTTAAGGTTTGTGCTGTCTAATGCAAGCCATAAGAGTGTTAGACGGTTGAGCTCGTAGCTCAGAGGTGCTTCTGACCTGAACCAAAGACCCACAGAACCAGGCTAAAGAGAACACTCTTGATCTGTGCTAAAGAGCTAGCCAAAGCTCAGCAAAGGGTTTCAGTCTAAGGCTACACAAGGTGCCCTCAAG